GACATTCGGCGGTTGCAGGAATATTAGGGTTACATTAAAAGTACATTACATGCGAGCTTAAAGAGCCTAAAATTGCAACTTATTAACGTAGATGGGATGTTTTTGTGCTAGCTGGGAAACGTTTGAAATAATACTGAAACGCTTCTGAAATAATGTATGCTGTATGTGCTGTAACTAACAATCATTTACTTATATGTTATACTGGAAATGGTTTAATGTTTATTATTTATTTATGATATAAAATACTTTAAATTTTATTAATAACAGTATACCCTTTTTTTACTCACCCTGCATAGAATGTAAAAATCTCTAATTTTGATTATAAAGGCTATTTTAACGTGATGTTAATTTGGAGAATATTCGCATGCTAAAGTAAAAATTAAAATTCGATTAAGGACTGACTCTGTATTATTTAAGTCATATATTATATGTTATGCTGCAAATATTGTTTGATATCAGTAAAGTATTGTACTAAAAATATCTGTAATATCATAGTAGTTTGTTAAGAGGCACGCACTTTTTAAAAAATAGCCAGTTTACTACTTTAACGCCCTGTATATTAAAAACTAGTCGTACTTATCAAAAATTCAAGAAATTTCACCGAAACCCCTTATATTGCGGGGCCTCGCTCTGCTCGTTCCGCAAATATTCACTCGTTACATAAAATAAGGCATTTCTTAACTGGTTTCACACTTATTTATTTATTTATCTAGTAAGTATAAAACCTAAATGGAACATTTAACTATCTCAAGATAATAGAACATAAAATGTTATTGTTCCATGGAAACAAAAAAAATATTATGTAGAATTGTCGCTTACAACGTTGTTATGGCAGACACGTTGAAATATAACGAAACGTCTTATTCGGCAAATCGAGTAAATTTTGACATATTAAAAACTTACCGTAAATGGTAAAAAACTGATTTTCAGATTTTCAACACAAAATAAGATCAATTAGGATGTTTTATTTAAGAAAATGTTCTTATAAAAAACACTGTGACACAAAATCAGTAGACATTTTGTTTACTGTCATTTGCGTTGCAGAGCATGACTGACTTGATAAAAAATATAAAAACGTTTGCAAAAACTGTAATTAATTCAAATAAGGCTAGCGCTACATTTGACTGCAGACTGCAGATTTTGCGTAATAAAATCAAATGCACACGCTTTTTTAGGGATTTTAGGAAAATAAAATTTAGTTTGCAGCTGCTGAAAATCGGCGAATCAACTTTTAAAGACAAAGTTTATAAAGGATGTACAGTTTATTTTTAGGAATATTAAAATATGTTACTATGAAAATTTCTTGAGGGTAAATGATTAACAGCAATATCGGGGTGATGCAGAAAAGTTAGGTAATCACAGAAAAAAAAATTGTTTGGGAATTATTGATTATTGATCATGGCTTTGGTAGCGGAAAATTTAGAAAAACATCAGTTGGAAATATTAAAAACTTAAGGTTGAACGAGAAATGTTAATCTTATTTTGAAGCGGGGGATAAACCACTAAACCTAGATCCGTGTACAAAAAAGAGGATTTATGAGGATTTGTCGAAGATGTATGAGGGTGTACGAGGTTCTAAGAGGATATATAAGGATGAACGAGATACGAGGATTTGAGAGAAAGTATCCTATATATGCTAAAACTCTTATAGTTCCTCATCGAACTTCAAAAAGTGGCATGTCGTGTTTTTTGCTTGCTATTTGTAGTTAGGTACAGGAGAATTGGGGTTAATATTACCCAGATAACAATTATACATTCTTAGCATATGCTAAGAATATACTGTATTTGCATTTGGAACATTCTCAGAATACACCAAGAATATGCTACGTGACGTTGTTTATACGTGCTATGCAGATACTGAGAATGTACTTCAAGTATGTGTACAGCATGCCATATAGCTATCTACTCTAATTTGATAGTACGTTCTAAGTATATGCTAAGTATTTAAATATAACATATGCTGGGCATATACTATACACCATAATACAGGATGTTTGATTAATATTGAACATTAAAGAATAAGTGTACCTATATAATAATGAAAATCGTGACAATTTTTTAAATCTTTATTTAAAAAAAATCATATATACCTATCTTATTTTTATTACAAATTCTTTCTTTGACCTTAACCAACCAATATTTTATTGCTTGATTCCATTGGATCTTCATTGAACCTAAAAAAAATCAACAAACTTGGTACCTACATATACAAAATAAGTGTACATAGCTAATGGAATATTTTTGTCGAACGTAAAACATTAAAAATTGTACATGGCATTCCACTAACAAAAACAAGAGTTGCATAAATGATTATTATGTTCAGTAAAAGTTTAAATACATTTTTGTTAATTACTTACCACCATTTTGTAGTTTTCGTCCTCCTTTAGCTAATTTTATAGTTCTTCCAGGTCAATTTCTGGCTTTACAATATTTTTTTCATAGAAACTGTGTATGTAATTCTGGTAACACATCAATTATAAGTTCTAAAAACTACAAATATAGTAAAATTTGTTTATTTTTATATAAAACACACGATGCAATTAATTTTTAATAATTTACTAACCCATTACAGACTGAAACGTGATCTAAAAAATTTTTAGGAATTGTAGGTTATGTTATTCTTCTCTTCTGTTAAAGTGGCAAATGTTTGTTGGTCTGGTATATATACTGGGTCTGAACTATCAATGTTAGTGCGTTTGCTAACGAATTATCAGATCAACATCTGGGAAAAATTTATATAGATGTGTATATAATCGTGTTTTTACATGTATTTGGTGTTAATTTTTACCTGCAAGCATTTAGAACACTCTCAAAATATGAGGAACATGCTGGGTATATGAATTTTAGTATCTTCTAAGAATGTCCTGTTATAGCACGTGCTTATATACTTTTTTGAATATACTTTTAAGGCACGTACTCAGTATATACTTTTTAGAATATACTTTCATAGCACGTACTCAGTATATACTTTCTAGAATATACTTTCAAAGTATATATTATAATATAATAATAATAACATTACTAAATAAAAATAATGTAGGAAGATGTACCCTGTATATTAAAAATTGATATGAGAAAGTCATATAAGTGAAGGAGACTTTGGGAAGGTAATAAGGATTGGGTTTCTAGGTTTGATTATTATTGATTGTCAATTTTGAAAAGAAAAAAAAGGTCAAAAAATTTTATGATTTAGTTTTGGAAAAATAGGGAAAAACTTATCTATGAAACAAGTAAAATAGACAAATTTTAATGACCAAATATACAAATATATACCAGGTACAAAATAGTTAAGAAAAATTAGTGGTAATTTTGTGTTCCGGACAGATACATATAGGTACATAGAAGCAGCCGAAAAGAGGACATATAAACCGAAGAGGAGAGAATACTTATGGAAATAGACAATTAATGGATGAACTGTGAGTAACTTTTATGAACTGATTACGATTATAACAAAAAATAATTAACTGTGAGAAAAAACATTGGTAGTCGGTATTTTTTTTATAGAATTTAATTTTAGTAAATAGTTTTGTTGGTATGAATGAAGAGAGAATGGATTTAGAATAATTTTAGTAACATAGGAGATTAGAATCCCCATGAGCATAAATAGCGGGGTATTTTGTTATTTTGAGTTTTAAAATTGTTTCAAATAAATCTTATAGTTGGTTTGAAAATTTGTTTATTTTATTTTAAAAATACAGGGTATAAAACAAGTCAAGTCGTAAATTTTTATTTTGTTGATTATTGAAATAAAATTTTAAAAAAATTATAATTACATTAAAATAGAATTAAAATACAATTGAAATAAAATTAAAAGAAAATTAAAACAAAATTCAAATAGATTACATAAAAAAATTAAACAAAATAAAAAGTATTAATATTTTAATTTGAAGCACCCCTGAGATCAAAAAAAAATTAAAAAAAAGTAAAAAAAAAAATAATATATTTTAATTAAAATAAAAAAAATAAGGGTATCAGGTGCGATATCATAACAATATACTAGGTATGTTATAAGAACATTCTAGAAAGCATATACTAAAAAGAACATAGACAGAATATTCTTAGTATATTCATAGAACATTGATGTTATGTGGGTATGTACTATGTCCCGGTGGTGGAAGCTGTCGTGTAACCTGTCAAATTAAAATTGTTTTTATTATCGATAGGTTTTTGGTTTTCTAGCTGGAAAAAATCCTTTTGCAAGCATTTTCTGTCGTCCGGTTTTGTTACTCCCGGTGTAGGGAAACCCCTATAGTCCGAGAGCTAGTAACACAAATTTCATTAAGTGTTTGATGTACTTTGAAATTTTGTAATTTGAAATCATTTGGATAGAAAAGCAGATATACCTGCGTTGCCTAGACCCACCCCGGGACACCAGTTACTGCGCATAATAGAAAAGAGTCGTAAAATATGACCCAAAAAAGTGTTTGATTCAGAGGCCAACAAACAACAATTGAAAGTTTAGGTAATTCTAAAAATACTAGTTATTTAGGCACTTTTGAGAGGGTTTATAATTAATAAATCAACCCCAAAGTTGATTTTTTTTTAAATATGATTTGAAGTGTTTGATTCACGCTGAAATTTTAATAGCGTCTTAATTAAATATAAAAAAAGTTAACTCCAAAAAGGCAGACACTTTTTCCGGGGTTTAATTGCCAGCCAACATAAAAGTCTTATTTACTATAGAAAGAGATAGGCTGCGTATGGCTGTAGGTGTGAGTGCGCTGATCACCGCCGTTACTACAGTCTTTCTCTACGCTCCCATTGGCTATTGGTCACGTGTTTTTTTACAGCTGTATATTTCAAATTCATATTTCGGAGTATAATACAAAAATGCATTTGTAAAGGATAACTTATGTTTAAACTTTTAATCTCTCAAGATTAAAAATTAATACAATTAAGTAATAATAATAAAAATCAATAATAAAAAAATTTGAATTTAAAGCTTTTCGAATAAAAAAAAGGAGACTGTGAGGTTATAATTAAACATCCCACTAATAGTATGTACGGTAAATATCATTGGTTTATTGTTTTTAAAAATATTTGTTACAAGTATAATTTATAAAAATGTCTAGAAAATCATCTTTAATCTTCGTCCTCATCACCACTATCCTCTGATAGTTCTTCTGTCGAGTCATCACTCGAAAACACGTCTTCATCATAAGAAGTCCGTTCATTATCTGAAAAAACCAATGTTGAGTATTTTTTGGCGTAAAATATTAGCAGTACTCTAAACAATGTTTTTCTCCTGTATCAACGAGTATAAATATTCGTCAATCTGACGACCCTTAGGCCCTACAATTTTCTTGTGATGCATTAAAGTAAAGTCAAGTAAGTCTCCGTATTTTTTTCTCAATTTCTGCTGAAAAAAAGCCGCTCCTACATTGCTATCGATTTCCTCTCCATTTTCAGCAGCTAATTTTTTTACGGTTTCCGTATAGTATTGACATAAAAAAGAGAAAAAGAAACATTTTTTGTCTTTAACAATATTTTCATCAATGAAAAAGCAAACTTCCTGAAAAGCTTTATCGCGATATTCTAACTTCTTATGATACTCAGTTTTTGGTTTGTTGTTATACATACGTAAGGAATTAATGTATTCAACTCTACAATTGCGGTGAGCTTTTACATCTACTGAACTTTGTAATGTTTTATATACAGTCGTATTCTCCAGGAATTCCTTATATGGTTGAAGAGTATTAATCAGAGCATCTTTTTCAAGAGAGAATAACGGAATGTGCTTGCCTTTTACTTTCCGGCGAGCTCTGGTGCAAAAAATACAAACATTAGTATTTTCTGATAATGCATAGAGATCAGCTGTTGCAGGTTCAGGAGTCGGGCCTGGACTATCTTGAACTTCAGGCTGATGATCTTGATTGTTTATGTAATTAACACTCTCTTCAAGTTGAGGTTCTGTCTTTACGATTTCAATATTTTCGAAAGACTCATCACTTCTTGAGAGATTATCTAAAAATAAAACACTGTCTTCATATTCAGGTGTCATCTGTACATCTTCAATACTTTCGACAACTTGATAACTTGTTGGAGGATTATCTGGAAATAAAACACTGTCTTCAAGTTCAGGTGTCGTCTGTACAACTTCAATATTTTCAAAAACTTGATAACTTCTTGAAAGAATATCTGGAAAAAAAATGTAAATTAAAAATTGGGGTACGGTCGACTTTAGGTCCAGTAAAATTTTAAAGAAATTTATTTTTTATCAGAAAGAGCGTATTTTAAATAGTACATTTAAAAAAAAAAATTGCGGTAAATGCATTATTTAAGCCAAAAAAAATTATTTAATTTCTATAAAAATCAGCATTTTGACGACTGTAAACATGGAAACTCGATGGCATGCTCGATGGTTTCAGTCAAATTTAGAAAATATAATTACAACGTTGCCGGATTGTGATAAAATTAGTAGTTGATGGAAAATTGCGATTGCGCATACCGATCCATAAATATGTAACAAGAAAACGAAGCAACGAAAAGTCGTAGAGTGGCGGCTTCGCCGCCACCAAAAAACGTTAACCCATACCTGGCTACGCCGACCGGCACAGACTCCAACGGCCTGGACACAGCTCAAATTGATTAATTGAAATGAAAAGTCTCATATAAACACATTTATATTCTGGTTTTATCATTTGGCTTGGAGCTATTGAAAAAACAGTAACTGTCATTCCTGTTATGTACGTTCTTTTACTATGTTTGACAACTCCACATTTATAGAAATAATAATATCAGTTGTCATATTATTCATAAAAAATAATATAGAACGGTATTACCATGAATATATTTATTTATAACAAAAAGCAATTGGCAACATCGCTAAAATCACGCACAGGCGCTCTAAGTGTGACTGTCAAATCGAAAAAATTAAAAACAATATGGCTACGTGAGAATGTAGTGAATAAATGCATATTCTTAATTTTTTAGCTTACAAATGTGTTTTAATAATATTTGTTACTTTAATTAGGTTAGTGCACACTTATAGAAGATTAAAAAGTGTAAAAATATTACGGTTTTACTTAATCTTTATGGAAAAAGTGACAAAATTACTGGACCTAATATCGACCGTAGCCAAAAATTGTTTCAATTATTTATACAAACTCGAGATATAGATTATTAGTAATAAAAGTATATAAAAAATTTGATTACTGAAAATAACTTGTGAGAAATACCTGATGTAGGAGGAGATTCCAGAGAAATAGTTGACAAATTTTGCTTGTATTGCTTCTTTAAACTTGTAAAATTCGCGTAGCATTGCCGATGATAACCTTCCTTAAAAGACACTTCTGATGGTAAAATTACATCACAGTATTTTAAATTGTTTTCTTGTCGGATTTTTAATGTTATTTTACATTTATTTAATGTACTCTTAGTGAATGGATTAACCTTTCTAGCATCTTTTTGTTTACATATCACACATGAGACACATTTCATTTTTTCAAACATTTTATTTAAGGCAAAGTTCAATTTCGTTTGACATATAATCACGATTTTTTTTAGGTTAGAAAATTGCCACAGAATACTTTTAGTGGTTATTCTGTGAAATTGCATTATCGATTTTTTTCATCCGAAGTAATACAAGACGTCACTTTAAATTTTTATCTCTTTATGTCAACAAATATGTAACACGATGCATTTATAAAACGTATGTTACTAATGAATATGTGGCGGCAACTGACGGCAACACTGTCAGCTACTCCATGGCTACTAGAGTACATACAGGTCCGGTATAAGCCATATATAAATAAAAAATAATAATTTAATGTTTTGATTGAGTTAAATAAAATATCAAAATTAAATTTTTATTTTTAAGTAAGCGACATTCAAAAATAATATAGGCTAATACTCAAGTCTATACGAGTGTACTGGACAAGAGATAATTTTACCCTTTACTCCAGTTTTTTGTAATGAAACCAGCGGTAAAATAGATATTTGTGTACAAAGGCGGTGTTTTGGCCGAATTAAACATATGCGTTAGAGTCTAAGCTAGTTCTGGTTAAGTATAAGAGCAATAGGCAAGAAACGGGTGTTCAATCAAACTTGACATCGAGATAGATATCACATAAGCAGGTGTACTGAAAATGAACTTTGCAGGACGAAGCATCAGATAGGTATAACACTTGATATTCTGAAAACTATGCATACTACACTGAATAAGAACGAATGGAAGTGTCAGAAGGAGGCTAACGGCAAAAAATAGACGGAACAGAGCTGAATAGATAGATAAGTAATATTTTAGCCAGGAGAGAATCGATGAGTGTTATAAATATAGTTATTTATGAATCTATTTTTAATGTATAATTTCAGTTTATTTTCACTTTTGGTATAAAACTATGGCTGACATAATAAAACTCTTAAAAGTATATATATTTTCAATCTTTATTACTATACATTATTTAGTTTTCATTTATTCTCTCTGACCTAGGGAAAAGGTTAGAAACCCCTGGTCATAATTGTTTACAATGTTGGTGTTCCTATTGATACAAAACATTACAGAGGAATGATACTTAGCCGATGAAATCTCATCGAGCTCACGCATGACGTATTGTGGTATGGAATATGGCTATCTCTGATGCATATGCAATTTTAAATTTATTTTTGCATACCGTTTTCTATCAACTGATACCCCAAATTTAAACAAGCCACGTCTTCGCACCACAATGTGACATAGCATCATAAATCTGCTAAATCTCGTACCATTTTTTTTTAAGTATCAAGGATATTCTTGGTGTAGCTGATCATCATGTTTCCAGTCATCGAACCTAAAAAATAACAAATATCACTAAATAGAATTCGGAATTTATTCCAAAAATATTTTTCTTTGGGAATTATATAGGATTTCTCGTTAATATACTGACAAACTTTTAAAGGTGGTAGGTGCATCAAAATAAACATTTTTTTGCTTAATAAAATAAAAATAATTTTATTGCCCAACAAATTAATCCATTTACAGAACAAAATACATGAAATAAATGTTAAACATAATATTTTGACAGAAAATAATTTTAGCAACAGCAAGAAGAAAAAAAGAAAAGAAAGAATCCTAAATACATTAGCTACAAATTAGTACAACTAATGATCGGAATAAATATCCCAATCAGAACAAAATTAATTAAAATTTGAGCGCATTAGCGTTATAGGTGGAGTTACAGTCATTTTAAAGATCAGAGCAATAATATTGTGATTTTCAATTTAAACATTTATTTGGATTGTAATTATCACTCGTAAAAACTCTAACTCCCACAACTGATCGAATTATGTTGTTTCTTAATTTATTATACTTTAATATAACTAAATACTTCAATATTTCAGGGTCAGTCCAACACTGTCTTTGCCAAACGTCTCTTACCAGATTTTAAAAACCACTCCTGTGTTATTAACGGGAAATCGAAATAATCGAAGTCTCGGATCTTTATGAGGTCAATCCACAATAATTGAAATAAACACACTTATTTTCAGAAATTTGTCCAAAAAAATTGTATTACCTCTGGCTTCGGGTGACGTCACAAATGGCGCACTTCAAAAATAGATTTGAGAAACTGGGCTATCCTTTTTAATACTCTAACCTTGTCTATTGTCACTTCCCAGACAGCTGTCAGCTGTCTTTCCAGTCTTTTGTTGTCAAAATTAATGTCAAATCAAAATTGTAAACGTTTGGTACACGTGCTTTGTTTGGTTTTCTTTTCAATTCAAATACTTATATAAAAATGTATTTAATGTATTATTTAAACGAAGCTGGAGAACGTATATATACGTTGAAGGTAATATTTTTGAAATATTTACAAGTGTTCATAAATCAAATGTTTTTTTTTTCAGAAATTAGACCTACATGGAAAGCCAACATTATCAGCACATCCAGGTGAGTAAAAAAAGATACATTTTCTACACCCACAAGTATATTATTTACGCACAGACTACAGAACCAAAATGTATGCCACTGCATTCTATTAAACACTTATTTCATATCCATTCTAATAAGAACACTGTAGGGATATGAAATGCAATGAGAAATAAGAATATTTGGCAAATGTCTAGTTGGAGCTCTTTTCGATTACGCAAAAACTAAGCACATTCATTAAAAAAACCTTTAAGGTGAACAATAACAACTAAACGTAGACATCATTTTATAGTGGAAAACAAAAATTTAAATAATAAATGTATAAAATGAATGGCAAAAAAGCGCTCTACATAAAGAAAGTGAAGTGGTGCAATGAAAACAGAAATATATTTAATAAGAGTATATTTTTATTAGGCGTTTTATTCAAAATAATTCAATACAATTTTTTGTTCCTTTTTTTGTCACCAATGGCCAAATAAAGCAGAAATCAATCAGCCTTACTAATTGAATTTTTAGGCAGTGTCTACTGAGTCTACACAAGGTATTTCATTTATTTACAATGGGTTGCTATAAATGCTAGGTGGCATAATCCAAAGATGAACAACTAATAACTTGTGATAAATACTCCAGTAAGATTTGTCAAACTTGCGAGATGATTTCCACCACTGAATAGAGAGCAGCAGTACTCAAATGTACAAGGTGTTTAATATATTTATGCCCAAATTGTAAACAATGAAAACAAAATAGAAAATGAATTAAAATTGTTATGAATTGAAATATCCTCACTTAAAAATAAATTAACCCAACTAAAATCTAATGAAAATGAAATAATTTCAAATATTCTTAAAATGGAGCTATAAAAAAATATAAATGTAATGGAAACAATATACCTAAATGTAATATAATCACTTGCACCAGGAAGAAGAATCCCTTTATAACAGATTATGAAATTTACAATACCTCAATAAAGAGAGCAAATTAAAGCAAAGATCTAGGGGTAGTTTATTCTTCAAAATTTACTTTAAATAAACATATAACAAAATTAACAACAGACTATCTTAGTTCCATATCTTGTGCAAATTAATAATAGTGACACAATTCATTTTTTAAATAAAAATATTTAACAAATTGTCTCAAATCAAAGGTCAGAGATGCTACTTTACTTCTTACAGTGTTGCCAAGTCCCACAAAAAGTTTACTATTACAATAGGTCTGTTCCAACACTCACGAAAACTGTAATATTCATGCTTAGTTTTTTCATAAGTGAAAAGACCTTATACTAGACAATGACCGAATATTTTATTTTATGAATTAGTATTGTATTTAGATAACCTAGTAAAACAAAGCTAATGCAAATTATCTTGAAGGACAATGGACAGTATTAATAGATGGCAGCAAGCTCTGTCGCGTCCAAGTCATATCTTTGATCATTTTATCATCTTCTACAGAACCATCGAATGGTTGAATTTCTCTATTCACTTATTGATGGACCCAAAGTTGATTAAGTAAGAACCGAATATATGTTTTAAAAATGAGATACAAGTTTTACTATTTTTTATGTCATTTATTTACAATTTATCATCATTTTAGAAAATATAACAATATTAATTTAAATTTGGCAATGTACCCAAATGTATTTAAAAATAAAGAAAACTTTCTGTATATAGAATTCTATACTCAATGATCAAGGGAGCGCTAGCATACGAGCTATTTTGATGACGCCCTGTACAGTTCTAACAGATGTTGCAACAGAATTACCTCCAATGAAACGTCCATAAGGTTGTTTTATTAGGATATCTAAATACAATGGTAAAAGTCATAAATTATTTTTAAAATAATAATGTTTTTCTTTTTATAGCTCGATTTTCTCCCGAAGATAAATATTCAAAGGAGAGAATTATTCTGAAAACCAGATATAATTTAATGATGACTCAAAAAGCTCCACCTGTTTATTAATGGATTATTATATTTTTTGAAATTATAGATGTAATAATTAGTTTTATTCAACTGGGTTACAAATAATCTTTGGCCCTGTTTTTTTTTATTAAAATGTAAACACTTATGTTGTCTTTTAATTTTTACTTTTATATTGCATAAAAATGAAATCAAATAATATTAGAGGTTAGATGACTTTACCACAGTACAAAGTATATTGGAAATTTAATAAAATGTTAGTGCCTCAATACTAAAAATTCCATGTTCAGCAGAAACAGATCCTGATCATAACATCTTTTCTGTTTGAATAATTAATCATAAATGGAGGTTGTGGTGGGAATGATACCATCCTCGGGAAAATCCTTCCTTAAACTTGGTCTTTATTTTTCCAAATCAAAAACCATTTTGAAAACTACACTTACCGAATATGGATATGATGGATAAGGATATTTAAACTAGTGGAGCATTACGATTGTTTGAATTTGCAAAAAGTGCATATAGTGCAGGACTTTTTTTAAGCACACCTCTAAAAATGTAAAAAATCTCATCTCCAATAATTTGTTAAATATACATGTAAACTGTATTTTAATCAAATTATGACCAGTTACTATTACCCTAAGCCAGTGGTCGGCATACCGCAACTTGCGAGGTGCATATGACTCTGCCTCCTTGAGTGTAGCTCTTCCACAAACTATGACGTGTGAGCTTACACATGCAGTGTGATTAAAACATCGTGATGGCTGCTTTTATTTCTATTTTTTCATACTTGGTGTTTATTTGTCTTTATCTTTAAGCTAGTACTTTGAAGTGACTTATTAAAAAACATTTCCAAAAAGATAAAATATCAATGTGTATCATAATAATATATTACTTCTGAGTTCGTATCCCCACAGGAAAGCCTAGAATTGTAAAATCTGCATCTGTCCGAAACGCTTTGCCTTTTATTGTATTTAATACGCTCGCAGGTCACAGTAGAGGTGGTAGTCGTACACAGAAACTGGAGGTATTTATTTGTGCCTATACAAACATGTAATACGCTGTAAAATGAAATTGTCAACTACTAACATAATATGTGTGAGAAATTTTGACAAATAAATAAATATGTAAGTGTGTAGACGAAAAAAATAAAAAATTTATAAATAAAAAAATATATATATGTAAATAAAAAAATGAGAATAAAATAAAATCAAACCCAAAAAGTATAAAAAAATAAACAATTAGGAACACACAGTTTTACTAACCACTTAAACCAACAATTGTATCCCATTGAACAAAATCGGTACAAGTAAACACGTAAATAAATACATTTTAAAAGCAAAAAAGTCTGACTAATAGGTCTCTGCCAAAGCAAAAAAAAAACATTTACAGGGGTGATAATAGCCGGAACTAGCCTATAATAACTAGACAGGAAAGTCATATGTTGGACACATCAGATTTTTTATTTTATGAGAACGTTATTTTTTAAATAAAATCTATGGAACTAAATTTTTAATCTTTAAACAGAAAATACACTGATATGCAAATAGTTATAAAAAGAAGTTTATATTTTAACTAGTAGTTAGTAGTTTAACTACTTTTTAGTGGGAGTAGTTGAACTACACAGTAATTAAACTACTTTTTTTAAAGGTAGTAGTTCTACTCAACTACTTGTAACCTACCGCACCCAGGTACCATAATCATTTATTAATTCCATTTTATTAAAAAAAAAGTTACATTCCTATCAAATACCAAATCCTTCATTTAACAAAAATCTCCCAGATAATTAAATCTTATTTACGACACCTAATAAATAATATCTATAAGAGATTCAATTTCTTAAAAGTGTCTGGGAACGCAATCTAATACCACCATACAACATAAGTTACCACGAAGTAATAATCATTAAAACTCTTAACGCAGTTAAGTCAGTTTTGAATAGGAACGTTATTTTCGATACACAAACTTTCCAAGGTAAGTAGTAAATCAGCCACCCTCTATCCACCTAAATTCGTTCACTGACGTCACCAAAAAACTAATTAAATCGTGTATAAAGATCCGATTAAAAGGGACTCGAAAGGCATTAAGAAATCAGACTCAGTCCAGTTGATTTCGAGCTCCAGTCGCATATTCTTCGAATCTAATATAATTCAAGTTCAGTACCTTTCCTAAACCCACGCAGTTCATATCCTACCTTGATCCGACGCCCTTAAGCCCGACCAACTATCTTCCAAACGTTCCTACGTCTCGACGCTCCACGTCTCGACGTCATCTCTTTATCCGACGCCCTACGTCCTTACTTATCTACCTTCCTGCGTTTGGCGTTCTGCGTCACGCCATTCTAAATTTCGACGCCAACGTCTCAACGTCCCTGCTAATTATACCGAATACAAAAATATAAAATGTCTGAAATAGAAACAGACGATAATATAAACCCAATGGTCTGTTTATCCGATGGTGAGTTAATAACAACCAAATTAAATTTGTAAAAATAGGAATTTATTGTTGAATAATAATGAGTATTATTGTGTAACTCATTATTATTCAATAATGATAAACCTTTGAGGAATTTATTGCTAGTCGACATCGCATTTAGCTCATCCAGATGTGTATGCTATGGGCCATATTGCCTTCAAATTAATATATCACCGTAAAAGATAATAAGAGTCTGGTTACCGAACTGTCAATGAACCCTCGCAAATAACAGCTCAGCTGATTGGGTTAAATGACACATCGGACGACTAGACTCACATTTATCCGAATATGCTTGATGTTACTACAGGGTTGGACTATCTTAGATAATTATCTCTCAATCTTCGCACCGTAGGTAGATCTGAACATAAGGGGTAGTTTGCTAGTGTTGATCTGGCTCTATTCTAGTAAGACTACATCTACATAAAACCCCCTAGGTGAGGCTGAAACATAAGGGATATCCGCCTGTTATTGCAACGACGGTATCTCAGTAAGCGCACCTATTCATCATCATCAACAAATCTTTATTTACATATTTACATTTTTACAATATATTTTACAATATAAGTATATATTTAACAGACGGATATCTTCTACGGGTGTCCGAAGTATTCCTATTCTGCGATATGACCGATGTCGTGGCCGTATACCTATATTGTTCAATTTATTCTTATGATTTTACGTGATCCCTCCTTGCTGTATAACAACATTATAGATCAATATAGGCTATTAACCAGGTCAGTAATGGAATAGTAATGAGTTTTTGTATGATTTTAATTGTGTCTGTCGTCCCTGAAAAACCAAGTGAAAAAACAGGGTTGTCCTAAGTGTATGTTTACGTGTTAATTTGTGCATGAATTAGTCAAATCACAAGACTACACCGTTCAACCATCGCTCGACACAAAAGTTCCGGCAAGCCAAAAATTTCGCACCGAGCAATGACGTCACCGTGCAGTCTTCCGTCCGACTATAGTTGGCAACTAATCGTCGTAATGATTTGACTATTCAGTGTGGTCGTCGCTGCTGAGGAGGATGTACGTCAATTTTTATCCTGTTTTCTGTCATATATGTCCGTAATGAGTGCATACTGCAGTCATTCATGCCCATGCTCACGCCAATTTCCCCGAAAAACATAGAAATCGAGGAAAACTATGCTTAACTGAGAAAAAGCGCTTCCGCAGTCGCATAAACAACCACAGTAGCATTTTACAATGTATTTTAACGAATGTTACTGATTTTACTGTGATGTAAGTTGAAATTTAGTTCATAAGCTTGAAGTTAATGTCTACGTCCGTCATGAACGCGTTGTAAGTTTCTATAATCTCTCTTCCCGTTGTGCATTTAATGAGTTTGGCGTTCAGTGCTCTGACTGCCCTGGTTAATTCGCCTATATTGATTATGGAGTTAAGTGTCTGAAACTCATTGTTGAGGGCCGTGAAATCGTCCATGCCTACGTTGGGGGTAGTATTTCTAGAAATTTCTGGTCTTCTGGGTGGAATTCTTAGTGGTTCTGTATATTCCATAGAATTTCTGCTGGGCAATGCTGGGAAATCATCCTGAATGTTGCGGTTTCGTCTCCTGGCCTCCCATTGGTTGATGGCAGGTTGAGGGGCGGGTACAAATTTTTGGTTTGTATTTTGTTTTGGTCGTCTTTCCAACATACGCTCAAGCTTTGTAGTATAGTTTTCACATTTGGAGTAGTTCGCGGGGTGGTCTCCCCCGCAATTTGCACACGTTGCTGGAGTGTCAGGAGTTTTAGAGCAGGTGGTAGTGTGATGGTCCCCGGCGCATTTTAGACAGCGGGGTTGCCTGCCACAATTAGCCGTAGCATGCCCCCACTGTTGGCAATTGTGGCACTGTATAATCATCTTTGTGGATTTTCTCAATTCCCAGGAGACTCTGGTATAGAGAACTCTTTTGGCATTCTTGTTGAGATAATCTAGCGTGATTACGGCGTCAGTGATCACTAAGTATAAGGGCCTTTCTTTAGTTTTCATTTTGTATATCGCTTTTGTTGTTATTTCGTGCTCCTCCTCCAAGTTCTGCTCGATGTCTACAATTTTGGTTCCTTGTGCGAGTCCTCTGAGGACGAAGGCATGCGTTTTATCATCTCGTGGGGTGTACGTGTGGTAGGGCATTTTTTCCGTTTTGATATTTGCTAACACTCGCTCATAGTCGTCCTTGGTTTCCACAAAAATGATAGTGGTATAGTTAGTGTGTTTAACACTGAATTCCCCCTTAACTATACCTTTCAAATCTTGTATGAGATTTCTTTGATTTGAAGTTCTGCCGTCTATGACTATAGGCGGCATCATGTTTCTATTTTTGTGCGTTGACTTTGCTGTAGTTGTGTTGGGTAACGTCTGTCTGGTATCTTTACTCACTGTTGGTAGGTTTTCTATATCTAGCGGCTTAAAGTTGGCACCTTTCTTCCGTTTTTTTACTATTTTGCCGATCTCATCATCAATGTCAGAATCGGAATCGTCTGTGAGTGGCTGAAATTTGTTGTTAGTAGTAAGTGTTTTCCTGGTTTTTTCCTTTATAAGGTTTTCAAAATTTCTGCTAAATTTTTTGGGGGTTAGGAACGGCTCTTCGTTTGTTTTATTTGCAGGGGGTTGGTCTACGTCCATCCTGTTTTCTCGTTCGTGCCTAGCACGATCCCTTTCATTTCTGCGTTCGAACAGACTGTTCGGGGAGTGTGGGAGGTGATCAAAAAATTCGTCATAATTTTTCTTGGTAGGTTCTTCTTCCGAGGTAACATTGTTCGGATCAAATTCGTGTATGTTACTTGCCACACTAAAGGGGATGTCTGAGTTTTGTACCTGTATTTTAATTCTTGGGTTGCTGTTTATCCTAGTAGTGAGTCTAGGATCGACTCTGGTAGTTGTGCGACTTCTAGCCTCAGTGAAGGTGGGATTTGATAAGACTGGAGGTGCGGTAACTTTCCCTTCAGAGCGGTTACTCAGTTCGCCACTCTTCGGGGCGTTTTCCGCACTACCCATGGCTAAATGTATGGCAGGGATTTTTGGTAGTTCCTCAAGTTGATTGGTTTTAAAATTCAGTAGATTTGCCATCACATTAGTAGGGAGAGGGAGTGTGATAGTGCTGCCTAACAATGAGTTCGGGTCCGTTTGGTAGTAGAATTCAAATTTGTCCGGGGTGTTTTCCCCAGGTTCCTTACCAGTTGAGGTATCCATTTGACTGGTAATAGTTGATTCTTCTGATGTATTAATAATAGTTTCCTCGGAGTTTTCGAGCACATCTATTAGTCTTTGAGTGGTGTCATCATATGGAGTGTCATTTAGCCTTTCAACACTATCATGGTATTCAATGGAGTCTCCAGAGTCAGCCACTGAGGGCTTTCTTGTGGCGTTCGTATCCCCTTCTGAGGTGTTTTCTGAAATTACTGCCTCTCCAACAGTTTGAGGGTCGTTTGAAGGTCGAATCGTGAAAATTTCGACCTGGGGAGCTTTGGATTCAGTTACTTCGTTATCAGAGTCTTGAAATAGTTCCAAAGTGTTGGTACTCACATACTTTTGGCCAGTTCGCTTGATTTTGGCTTTAATAGACTTGGGCAAGGTCAGTTTCAGTATTTTGTCGTACTGCGAGTGTTTAAGCCGGCATTTGTTCTTGAGCTTTCTCGTATATTCTGTGCTGAATCCTTTGGTGGGTGATGGGTAGAATACTATTGGAGGCCCGGTGGGCTCCGACATTCACGGTTCACAACCGATACTATGGTTCAATACTTAACCTGGCTAGACGTTACTATGAAAATTCAGAAATTTGGGAGTTTGACAGCTGTCACTGATAACAATATTAAAATTTGCGTAGACTCTGAGTCAACCGTACCTATTCACAGCAATAGGTGTACTGTGTAAGCGCACCTATATAAAAAAGAAAACTACGAAACAAAGAATTATTAAAGATAGTGCAATTCTGAGTACGTCTGCTGTCTATTCTCAAGAATTGTTTTATTACAAATAATGGCAAGTGGCCTGTTGTTTGGGCGAGACACATGTGAGGTCTACCTTTATTGGAGATCAAAAAAATAAATTAAGTTAAATATATTTTGAGCATTATTTAATTCACAAATTTGTACCAAACTTTGCATCGAATCCTGGTTTATTTTAATTAACATTATCACAACGTGGGTATATAAATTATTAATTAATTAACTAGACGATCACTACACTACTAGAGGAAAAGGCCATATACAGTAAGTATGAATTTCTTTGAATTTCACAAGGGGAGGGAGGTACTTAAATTAAAATACGGGCTTTTAATAATTAGCTACAAGACCGGGGGGTGGGCGGTCACATACTTTTTAAAAGTAGTTTGCCTAGCTCTGCCCTTCTTTTGGATTTTACTGATAATATGTGGCTTTCAAAATAATCTGATTAAGTACCCATCATTTCAACTTCAGATATTAAATAATAAAATATATCATATTTGAATGTTTTTCCGTCTTCTAGAGGTTCCATGAAGAAGTTCTTCATTCAGCAAACCTCTAAAATCAACTACACTTTTTCTATCCTTAACCATCATTAAGGTGTATTCCTTTTTTTACTAAATAACCTCTTTTAGAGGAAATAAAACTGCAAAATGTATAACATTAAAATATATTTACAGTTTCATTTCAAACAAATAGGTAAAAAATTATAATTTTCCTGAATATATTGTATACAAAATGCTTTTTAAATCACTTAACAACTAGACAATAAAAAAAGAACTAAAATCGATCAGTGAAAATTAAATATAAACCAGAGCAAGGCACTAAATAGCATCATTCAATATTTCTTCGACTTATAAGTTTTATTTTAATTCTGATATATTTGGCACACATTACAGAACGTTAATATTTTACAAAATACTTTATAGTTACTTTCCTATCCAAGAAAATGATCGAAGAATTATGAAACAATGCATACCTGGAATTGCAAAAAGAGTTTTTTTTACTTAGTATAGAATTTCTTGCTTGGATCTTTGGCCATATCTAACAAGGTTTGAGCGGGTTTGAATGGCAAACCGTAGGAATGCTGGAAGTTTTCCATTTTAGCGACCAATTTCGCAGCGCCATATTGATCTACCCATCTGAATGGACCACCTGAGAATGGTGGGAATCCTAGGCCGAATACTGCACCTACATCACCTTCTAGGGGATTGTCCAGGATTTTTTCTTCTAAACATAGAATGGCTTCATTCACGAATCTAATAGAAAATAAAATAGTAAATATAATCCTGTTTTGATTTATACCTGTAGGATCTTAATACTAACCTTGTCACCATCCGTAAAGTCTTATCTTCATCTTCGAACGAACCTCGTGGCTCCAACGAGTATTTCTTAAGTATTTCTAAAGCGTCTACATTGACATCACGGCTTTTCTTTCCTTTTTCATACATAAAGATACCTTTTCCAGACTTTCTACCTAAGAAACCAGCTTGAACCATGTCTCTCATTACGCCTAGATCTCCTCCAGCAAATCTTTCACCAAATGACTAAAATAAAGCAATTCTTAAACAGTTTCTTATAAAACATGTATTGTCGAGAATTTAATATCAGTGGGAATAAAAAGCTAATTCAACAAAAAATATTGTGAACAGGAAAATTGAGCACAATGCAAAATCCATCAAACATTGCATATGGTATGAAAAGTGCTAGTAATGATTTAAAACATGTAGTAAAGGAGTTGAAAGATATTTACAGAGAGTTACAATTATAGATATAATATAGTTATATATATTTATTTTACATTTGTTTTTTTAGAATGCATAAGGATATTTGTTAATTCCAGTACGAAGAATATCTAACACCCTATGCAAGCAGTTATGTTCAGTTTCAAATCGTAGCCTCAAAAAAAGTTGCAGTTACTTTAAAAGATCGTATTTTGCATATGTAAGAAGCGGAGTTAAATGGGAACAAATACAATGATTTAACAAATAAAGTTATTTGACAAAAGTTTATGCAATGAGAGATGGTCAAAAGAATTTTATATAAAACATCAAAGGGTTGCAAAAGGAGTTACCACTACAACCTAGAACATTTCTTTGCAACCGTTTTCTGTGACACAGGCTAGTTCTCCTAGTGTACAGACAGTAAACCGGAAGAGAAAAATGGCTCTTTTTGTGACTAATCCGCTGGCTAATTTAGCTAGTCTATCTTCCAGTAGTTCGTTCAGTTACAAAATGAAGATACTGGAAGCAATAGAGACTGTTTGGAGAGAAGGTCATGAAGTAGCCATAAATGTAATTCCTAGTAGCACTGACGAAAATACAGATCAGAGCATTACAAATAATGAAGATCCAAATGATTGTTCTGACATGTTTAATGTACACATGAATTCATAGATCTAATAAAAGAACAAAATAACAAGAACATTTTATCTGTAAATTGACATGGTCAACTAACTATACCAAGACATCTTAGACTCAAATATAACTGGTTTGTTGCTTATTTGAAATTATTGTTAAAATACACTTATATAATTAAAAATATTTCTTCTTTTCTAGATGTTAATGAAATTTTAGTACATAACGAAGGGGAATCCGTTTTAGTTACAAAAAGTAACGAAAACAGTAAAGAGAGAATGTTACCTGAAAATTGGCAAAAAATCGAATCAGTTTTAACTATGGAAAGCAACGAAAAAATCAGAAGTAAGATTTTCATAGATACTTATATTTTTTGTAATCGCTATAAATTAATATTTGTTTTAGTTATAAGTGAAATAGTATTACCGCTCAAAATTAAAATAAAAGGAAGACCTAAAGATGCCGACCAAACCATTGTTGGAAAAAAGCGAAGACCAATTAAAAAATAATTTTCTAAGCTTTGACAATAATAATAATTATCTTACGTATAAAAATTATTTTTACAGTTATTTGTACATGTCATGTTAGCTAAATGTATATTTTGGTAACCTAAATATATATTTTTATATACAAATTGATTTATTACAATTAAGATTGAGAAATCTCAATAGTTCTGCTACCATTCCCTTAATCACAAATATTTGTCTATCAAAAGAACACTAAACACACCAAAAAAATAGGAATTAGTATGGACCAAAAATACAGATAGTGCATGCTAAATATTGACGTCATCGGCTTGATGACGTTTCGCGTGTATTTAACTTTTTGATTTGCATACAAGCGTGTACTTAGACATAACGATATTTTTTTCATTTGATAATTAGGTTAATGTCAAGGGAATGGCTTTATGCAGAAAAATACTCAAATAGAAATGTACCGGATAGGCGCATATTCCTGGAAATTGATTGCCACTTAAGAGAAACTGGTACTGTTCAGAAACAAGTGCGGGTTAATAGTGGTCGTCTAAAAAACCGTGCTAATGATGAGGCTATCCTAGACAGTAATGACGAGCGCCCGAAAACAAGCACAAGGGTGTTCGGTGCTCAAATAGGAGTATATCATATGAAAGGGTATACAACAATTGAGAAGAAAAGTAAATGTTTGGGCTGGAATTATCGCGATAACTATTTAGTAGGGCCAGTATTTCTTCCCAATAATTTTAACGGAGACTAGTATATTAAAATACAAGTTGCAGAAGGCCACACATTCCCGCATGAATTGGAAATTTGGCCTTAAGCGACGAAGGAGTGAGTGGACGAACGAATGATTGCGAGAATAGTCTTCTGCAACGTGTGTTTTATACTATTTTTTCGATTTTGGGCTTTAACTTTTTTTTTCGTGGTAGTTGTTAGTTGTCAACTGAAATGTCACAAAAATGTCACCAAAAATTGTTTAAGAATGACCTACATTCTTCAACGATTTTGCGGTGCGAGAATATGATATTCTTACACCAAAATCGAGAAAATTATTTATTATGAGGTTTTTAATTCGTCAGAATATTTTTTTTTTTATGTATGTTTAGCGATAATTCTTTAACACGTCTGATTTCAATGATTCTTTTTTTTGTTAGAACTTTAGAACATCAGAATTAGTGCCATATAAATTTTGACATGATCAAATAATTGGGTCCATGAGAAAATTCTCACTCTTAATTTTTTATGTATGTTTAGCGAAAATTATTTACCACTTTGTCTGATTTCTACAATTCGTTTTTAGTAGAAACGGGGTACCTCAGGGATGGTCCCATATAAATTTATTCAAGATCTGGTGATGACATCTGAATGATTTTGAAGTCAGTTTTTAAAATTAATTTTATAACTTGTAACAAAACGATTTGCCAATCTACTTAGAAGATGTACCATTAACCATCAGATAAAGTATGTTGTTTATGCAAGATGGTGCTCCACATTTTAATAGCGACGTTAGGGCGTTTCTATTTCAGCAATATTTAGCACGTTGGATAGAGAGAGAGAGAGCTCGATGTACCAATTGAATGGCCATCGCGCGGTGCAGATCTAAATCCACTTGATTCTTGTTTTCAGGGATTTATGAAAGACTATTGTTATTCCGTGGAAATAACTGGTGAACATCAACTAAGAAACTAATAAGGCATTTGGACAAAAAAAAATTATTTTTCAACAAATTCTATTTTCATTGTTAAAACGATGTAGAATGTGTATACGGGAAAGAGGAGGTAATTTGAATACCTGTTAAAATAAATTATTGTATTTTAAGGTTAATAGTTGTAATTTAATAATAAACCTGATTTTGTTATTTTTGCAAACATAGAATTTACAATGAAAAATTTCAACAAGCAAGTGGCTGTATAGTTTTAACCAAACATTTTACGAACAAATACTAAGATATAAAAAAGTTTCAAAATGGATGTTGAATTCCAGTGTCGTTCAATTTTCGACTAAATTTTATACCACAAAAAAGTTGGGTGGTCAAAAGTGCGATGACCCCTTCGAAAAACCTACAAAAATCGAGATAAAAATATTGCCTCTACCTCGGCTTTATTAGCCATTGTATTCTAACACGCCATATACAATTTCATAAAAAAATGTTAAACAGTTTAAGAGCAACATTAAAAAAATTTATTTGAATTTTTAACTTAAACACCCTGTAACTTTTTGTGTGTGCAATTTTGTACATTGGTAAGAAAGGTTCAATTGACCTATTTTTGACCAAAGAATATGTGGTATAATTTAATCCTCTATCTACTTATAACATATGCACATTTTCCAATCAATCTACTAAAATTAATGAAGAGGTATGTGTATTTATAAAATAATAGAAACTTATCAAAAATAAGTACATACAGGGTGAATCATAACTATTGGGACATAGATTAAGCGCATGTTATTTGGACCAAAATATGAAGATTAGACCGTTTTTTGGTAATAATTTCGCAACATATAAATCTTTATCAAAATTGTAAAAGAGTCATGACAAGGAATGTTAATGTAAATATTATTTTACATTTTCCACAGCAACATTCTATATTATTTTACTCTGCTCTTTTTGCAATTAACTACTCAGGCAGATACTATTTTTTTAAAATAACTATATTTGCCTATGAATTTATGTTTTTACTGTAAAATATACAAAACAACAAAGATATTTTCCTATTCCTTGAAGAAAATAAAAGAAAAATTATGTACCTGCTTCATCTGACTCCAGCAAAATGTTATTTATTTATTTCTGCAGTTATAGGTACAAAAGGAGTAAAATAGAAAAAACATGTAACAATCAAGATACCAACATTACTTAAAAAAACTTACCTTAGCTAGGTTAGGCCCAATATGGGCTGCAACATCAATACCAACTTCATCAGCCAAAGTGGCTGCGCCTACCGGAAAACCAAATTTCTTAGTTAAATTGTCCAAGTCTTTGGGATCGACCCCCTCTTGTAGCAGTCTTACAGATTCAGCCATCATAGCTGATAAAATTCTTGTCGTGTAGAATCCAGGACCATCACCAACAGTTATCACGACTTTTCCTTGTTTTAAACCTACATCTACTGCTATTGCGGTTGCTTCTTTACTAGTTTTATCAGTAGTGATTATTTCCAAAAGTTGCATTTTGTCTACTGGTGAAAAGTAATGCATACCTAAAAGAAAATTATTTAAATTTTTTAGCCAACACTAGAAGAACTGTAGATCATAAAGCGGTAGTTTGTGGCCTTAAGACCTTTCAATACTTTAGATACTTGTCGTTGGGCTACCTTGTAGTTATTAAATCGATTAAAACAATTCTTATATATTTTTATATCAAAAAAGTAGTGGATATTACCTATCACATTTTCTGGTCTAGCAGAAGCTGCTGCAATTTTTCCAATAGGAATAGCGCTGGTATTTGTAGCGAAAATACAATCCGGTTTTACAACGGCTTCGACTTCTTTGAGTACTTTATGCTTGATGCTAAGATCCTCGAACACTGCTTCAATAACAATATCGGTATTTTTGAAAGGATCATAACTTAAAGTTGCATTAAGATTTGAAAAGTATCTGTCTCGTTCCAACCTATAAATAACAGAATTTTTTATTTATAATGAAAAACCTTTGCCACATAAATAATAAATATTCAGTATTACATTGTACGACTACATCATAATGTGCCATTGGATTTTTTGGAAAACTGAGTTATTGACAGGCTGAATTATTTTATTATAAACAACTAAAACTTGCTAAAAATTATAAAAATAAATAACTTGATGAAGCAATAGTTATTTTTGCAAAAAGAACCAGGCACCATTTTTATGAAAAAGTGGGCTCTCTTCGAATTTCGTACACATTTCAATGTTTGATTTGATAGTATCAATTTGCTTATATCTTCACAAAAAATATCAATTAAGGGTAGTTCACAACATTGCAGGTATAATAGATAAACGTCATATCTAGACCCGGAGTTCAAGACTATGTGGGTCAAATAACAAATTTAATAATGTCACTGAAAAAGAATCATGTACTTGTTAGTTATAATACTAATAATACCACACAAAATTATTACAAATACACAATTTAATAACTAATATCACACTATAATTTAAACCTGAAAATGTTAACTAAGAAGTCAGTTAAGGACTTGCAAGGGAAGAGAGAAGTCTGAACAAGTCCTCCCAAAAAAAGACAAAAGAAACTTACCCGACAGGTGCTGCCTCTAATTAGCAACAACGTAACAAATATACGTTCTGCGTTTTTGCATCTGCGAATAAAAAAGTGGTCTAGACCATCCGAAAGTATGATTCGGTCACCTAAGCATGTTCATATGGCTGTGGTTTTGTAGCAAAGGTTGTTCCTGGTATTGTATCCATGGATCTCATTGGCAGTAGTCACTTGTTTGTAGGGATGAGTATATATTATTCGGAAACAGGTTATGGATAACGATGCACGTCTGATATTTATAGCGTTTTCGACTGGCCACACTCAATTCACACTCGTGAAGTGCGAGTTTTCGTTACTCAGCACTGGTTCAATTTATTGACGTGATACTAACTTATTCCAACCGAACACGCAGTTGACCACCCAGTGCATTATACTGTCAAAGTATTGTATTTGACAGCTATCATCTGAGTGATAAGTAGAAGTAGTACCTTCCAAATTCCAAACAAGATCCAAGACAAGCTTTCATTTTAAACATTTATTTAATATTGTCTATAGAATATTTTATCAACAGATTAATATAAACCTACTTATGTTTAAGTTCTTAAGATGTCAACGTATACTATGCATATACAGGAATTACAAGAATATTTATGATACCTACCTGGGAGTCATCCAGGTGCGACCCCATCAATTCAATGTAATCTTTTATTATTGGTAGTTTAGTTTTATTAAACTTGGCCTTAATTAAATCTTCTTTATCTAAATCTGATGAAGAAAATTCCAATATTTCTTTATAAATTCTAAAAAATTTACATATTTTAGAAACAACTCTTTATTTGCCATCGCCATATTTGTTACGACTGAACTGAAACTGAAAACCTGTCTCTACACTCAGTTCACAAAAGTGCGCACCGGTTCACTTTTTTGAGTTCAACTGAGTCCAACCGAAAATTCAAAAACTGACCCGGTTCGCACAGCTCTTACGAGTCGAAAACAAATTTTGCACAGAGTATTAAAAAGTGCGCACCAGTTTCACCAGTCGAAAACGCTAATAGATATAAGGATTTTAATGCGTGGTATTCAGGGTAAATAACTATAAATTGATTGATTTCATATGGTAATATTTTTGGACACAGCTGGTACTATGGTACGATTGGCTGAGTTGCTTTAGTGTAAAGGCCTTGTGAGGTGGGAAAAAGGAAGAGTATTTGGTTTTTGGGACGAAAATCGCTCTCTTGCTTCCTAATAGTCGAGCTGGTAAGAAACCATACCAAATTAGCATGAAGCCGTTAGAATTCTTAATTCTTCTAACTAAATCTCAAGAAGGGGGTGGATGATGCAAAAAAAATAACTAAATAAATAAAACTATTGAGTAGTACATTGGTTAATGATTTTAATTGCTCGTACTTATATTAGAGTGAAGTATTATAATGTACATTCATATATCTCACCTAGCACAATGATAGGCCTTACTTATTACTATGACTATACTCTAGACTTGCGACAGTTTCCCTACGTTAGTCTCGAGTCCCGTGGTTGAAGGTAATAGAACATTTCAAAAGTCTGTCTTAACTATGAAATAAGAAATAACCTATAAATTATAAATGCACGATATAAAAGATAAAAGGAAAATATATTAAAGTAAAGAATTATGTACAAATTATTCAGAATCAATCAGTACTGTTAGGTTTCCAATGTCATAGCAAATACATTACATTTCAGGTTATACAAGTAAAAGTTTCTATAGAACTTAGTTTATAAAAACGATGGAACAACCCCTCTTTTTATTAATACTAAATACATAAACAGTCTTACACAATTTTAGTTTTGCAAAGCACAGAGACCTAGTACTTATTTTAAATTCTGTATACCTAGTAATTAGGATCAACTTATTGTCTAAAACTTATTATCTAAAACCATAGAAACCAACTATCCCTCGTCAAAACTATATTGTACATATAATTATTTCATTTTAAGGAACAAATGCGGGGTATATACACTACCCTTGGTGGTAGGATCGGTAAGGAAGTTCCCCGTACCTTCCGAGGTATATATAACTGGTAGTAAAGATTGGGTTTGTCTTATTTGCTGGCACTCCAGGTTCCTAGAGTAACAGGCATGGAACCGTCATCCATACATACAAATGTATTCTAGAAGTGGAGAGTATCTCTACTGGGGGTACATTAAATCGATGGATACCTAATACCACAAAATAACCTTTTTGTAGTAATCAACTGGGAAGATTGGGGATACCGTATAGTGAGGGGGCAAACCCGTCCTGAGGACCTGTAAGTCACGTTAAGATAGGGGTGGTCCGTATCTAATGCTAGTTCCAGAGCGGTAAGTACAAAACTATGCGAATAGCGCATGTACTAATAGTAAAAATAAAAAGATCTGCAAAGAAAATACATATATGTACTCAGAAAAATATTATTTTAGGAGTAGGTGAGCTGCTGCAGGAAGAAATAAGTTAGACTCACCTGAGGATGTTGGTTGACCTTAAGGAGTTAGTCTTTTTTTCAATGGTTAGTACTCTAGATCCATAATAAAGTGGTCATTGATCCCACGCTCAATTCTATATGGGTTACTAACAATGATCCTTGTTCTTTCAAGCTAAAGAATCCGAAAAATCGATCGATTTCAATAGCACATGCTACAATGAGTAGCTTTTCAGAAGGACTGTAGAAAAAGTGTTAAAAAAAACTAGGAAGGAAATCCCTAAGACAATTTGGTAAGTCACTGAGCGGTCTTTTACTAATTGGATGCATCTGAATAGGGTATAAATCTGTTCATTTGGTTGGCTAAATGCCCAAAGGGGTTAGAAAAGAAGAATTATATTGCTAATTTAATTTATTGACAGGTAACAAATCAACAAGTGTATAAAAATAATAAATATTTGTTATAGGTTATGGGCCAGATAAACATTACTATACTTTAAATATTACTACACTTTACTAGTACTAAACAGATTGGCGAAGGTGAACAGGCGTCACTAATAAAAATATTTTCAACCCGTAACAAGCACCTGTTTTTAAAGTTGGTGGATCTAGAGTTGGTTGTCTTTTGAAAAGTTTCCAATTTTCTTTTTGTAAGAATTTCGTTCGTTATTGTTTGGTCCAGTTCATTGGAGAATAACTACGGAAACTACTCCTATTGTGGGGGACTAAATATCTAGAATATTATTTGGACGATACAAGAGATCAGTAGGATGACAAAATGGAAGTTGAAAAATTTTGTTTTACTCTATTTTGTCTTTCTAAAGTCAGCTGAAAGATAGTAGGCAACCCTCCCAAAACTCCAATGTCAGGACTAAATTTTTTTACACGATTGAGTAATATGTTCCCAGTTGAGCTTGGAATGTATATACAAGCCAAGATATTTAACCCTTAACTGGTCCGGCACGCCGGCAAAAAATACAAGAAAAAAAAAAGAAAAATTCTTTCATTTTGCAATAATAAATTGTAAAAGTGTTAGGTAAACAAAAACTTACATAAAATACAAATTTAACAGAAACATTTGATTTTCAGTATGAGATAATTTCTGCCACAGCTTTTAGGAAACTGACGCCAGCCTGTCGCAAACATGGCTACCTGGCGAGCTACAATAGGGAAAGGATCAGATGTAAGGACCTTCCTGTGGGAGTAGTCTGTCAGACGACGCCGGACCAGTTAAGGGTTAATGTATTCTGTCCTAGTTAACTGTTCATTGTCTATATTTATTTGAAATTGGTTCCTTAAGGCTTTTTTGATATCACTAAAAAATTTGACTCTTCAGTATTCAATAATAATTTATGAAACTTTGACCATTCAAAAATTTGATTTAGATCATCTTCTATAAAAATTTTTATTTCCTCTGGATCTTTACCAAAATAGATGAGGCATGTGTCAGGCATAGTTGCAGATAAAAAACTAATAGTAACTGAGCTATGGAATTTATATAAATCAGGAATAATAGTCCAAGAATTGACCCCTGGGGTACACCATATTGAAGATCAGCCATTTTACTTGAGATATCTCCATTACTTACAAACTGTGTGTGGCCATTAAAATATTCTCTGAAAAGAGACAATGCATTTCCTGCAATTCCATGGTCTTTCAAAATAGATAACAGTAGTGAATGGTTAACAGTATCAAACGCCTTCTTCAAGTCAAGTGAAACAATGATACATGATGTCTGATATTGGTAATTATATCTATAACTGGTGACGTTGTGCTACTTTTGCTACGAAATCCAAACTGGTCATTGTATCAAAAATTTTTATTTTCAAGATAGAGCTTAACAGCGATATCGGTCGATAACTATTAGTGGAAATTCTTGGCCCTCCTTTAAATAATGGCAAAACTTTAGCTACTTTTAGTTCATTGGTAATTGAACCATGAGTGAAAGATAGATTTATTAGATTTCTTGAGATAACCGACATCTCGTTTTTAAAATATATGGTCACGTCCCCAGAAATATCATCAGCACCGCAGGCTTTTCTTGGTTTTAGCTCTGAAATTATTTTGTTAATTTCTTCAGGGGTAGTTAATTCTCATTGATAAAGTCGACATCTCGTTTTTAAAATATATGGTTACGATCCCAGAAATATCATCAGCACCGCAGGCTTTTCTTGGTTTCAGCTCTGAAATAATTTTGTTCATTTCTTCAGGGATAGTTAATTCCCATTGATAAAGTCGTTGAAGGTTTGTTGCTGCAGGTTTCGTGTAAGTATACTCTGAAATATTTTCTGCTAAGGATTTACCTATTTCTGTAAAATGGTTATTAAGGATGTCTGCAATTTTCTTAGGATCTTCTATCAAGTCACTTTTCACTTGCAATTTTTATTCACTGTGGTTTGTTTCTTTGATATTTTATTATGAATTAAACACTAACCATATTCTTCTCGGGTTACCAAGAGAACTTGTTAACTAATTTTGATAATATTGCATTTTTGCTTCAGATATAGCTGCTTTTAAGATAGTTTGACTATTCTTGTATTCACTGTGAAGCAGAGTAGATCGTTAATGAGGGTAAATAATGCTTAATTTCTCCAAAGTTGAGTGGATTAATACACGGTCAACGGAAAAACATGTATAGTTGATTTAAAATTTTAGTAAGTGTGCCAATTGATGTTGGACGGAGCTGGTAATCCAATATTACAGTAAATATTTGATATAAGTGAATTTTTTCCATAAAAAAGGTGCGTGGTCGTTCAATATAAAAAAATCTTTTTAGTTGTAAAATGTTCAAGGAATTTATTAAATGTTCACATTTAATACCGCTAAGGGTGAGTTGTACAAAGAATGCCGTAAACTCAGTTTAGCTAACAGGAGTTTAATTTTTAACTGATTATATTCAACGTACAATTAACAATAAACGCTGATTGTACAACAAGATTTACAGTTTAAACTAAGATTACATTTTAACTGCCTATTGTACAACCTGTCCTAAACGTTACATTTTCAGTAATTTAATTTTACTTCGAGTGGTATTATTTTCCAAAAATACCGGCGTTGCCATGGTAACGCCAGAGAACACAAACATTTTATTTGTTGAGAAACAAAGATGTGATATTTTCACTTCAAACCTACTTACCCGGTTAACTTCTTTCTCTTCACAGCCCCACTTAATCCCGTAGAAATCTGATTTACACCTCTAGCCAAACCAGCACTATTAGAGTCTTTTAAAATGACTTGGTATCCCTTATCAACAGTAACCTGTAAACATAATATGAAATATAAGTTCGTAGCTTAGTTCTAACAACTCATTTTACAATGAGCCATATACTTAAAATAAACAATATCCAAGATAAAAATCACACCTAAACATTTGCTTCACAAAAAGTATATTACCTGCGCTATGCCGGCTCCCATTAATCCGGCTCCCAGAACTGCCACGGACTTTATTGGTTTACTGGGTTTGCCAAATCTATTTTTCTTACACTGGGTTTGACCCTTGAAAAGACCAATAAGACCTTTAGATTCAGGAGTTACCGCAAGGTCTCCAAAAGCACGGGCTTCTTCTCTAAACCCTACAGTTTCGCCCTTGTCGAGAGAAGTACGAACAACTTCAAGTATCTGGAAAAGGATTTTTTTATGTCTAACGAAAAATAATTACACCTTTAATTGGATAATTATTATTCATTTACTAGTTGTCTTAAATAACATTGACCCATTTTAACATGTGTACAAAGAGTAACATCAAAAATATGTGTTAAAGTAAAAGTGTATGTATAGAACTAAATGCATGCATTTACTTAGTATAGTATTACTATACTCTGTTTTTAAACTAAGAGGAGCGATTTGAATTTAAGTTGGCAATTCTGTAGACTTCTGATTGGTCAGATTGCAGTCAGTTACACACATTACTTTTTAGCTGATAATTGTTATTGTTGACAGTTCCATTCTGACATTTTATATTTTAAAGTTTTGTTATTGCTTCGACATCTCATCATTATTACTTAGTTTTTTATTTTAGTTCTTTAATAACTGTTCTTTACAAAACTTTAGTAAGCAATTGTATTGAGTTTGTTGGGAGACATTTTACTCAATTTACTGACATTTAGTTGCTGCTTGGGCGATTCTATTCTCATACTGGTGCGAGCTGCGATATGAGACGAAGTAATGAAAAAATAAAAGTACAACTAAATCAAAAACGAAATGAGCACAATTTAGTGTCATCTTTATTCGTTGGTTATCTAAAACTTTAACTTCAATGCATTCGTAACAAAGTTTTAAAATGTTTTTCTTGAAATTTACCGCTAAAATGATATCTAGTTACTTTTTTAGTTATTTTTCCCTGTGTAAATAGGACTTTTCAATTCGCTCCTCTTAGTTTAAAAACAGAGTATAGTGAAAGTATACATTTACTAAAGAATGTTAGTCAAAGTAGTAGACGTCAGTTCAGAGGTAAAACCACATACTTTGATTTTCTTTTACTATACGGAGAATGGTCGCACTGCGCAGCTTTCTGAGTGCCTTTTAAAAGGAGATATAAAACTCCGCCATTTTGATCCCTTATTACGTGTTGCCTACATCTTGGCGCAATATTTTTAATAGGTGCGTTTTAATCATCCGCTTCTGCTTAGGAATTGTCGGTTTTCTTGTTTTAATCTGACAATTCCGGAACCAGAAGCGGATGATTATAACGCATCTGATATTTTGCTTGCTGCTGTCAGTGTCAGTGAATATTATTTTTGGAGTCACAGTTTATTGCTAAAGAATCAGTTAGCTCACTCGGACCAGTTGAAAGTTCCAAAATAACATCCACTCCAGGGATACAAATTCAGGATACGCAGAAGACTGCTGTTTTATTATAGGCGGTTGTCATATATTGTATTATCCGAGTTGCTCAGTGTATAAACTGGAACATTCAGATCAAAAGTGCCGACGCAGAGTGAGCGATCTGATTCTTTAGCTATAAACTGTGGCATAGGAATCAAAATGGCCGCGCCCTATGTTGGGCGTGTCGGACCTCTCTCTTGCACCGTATAGTAATCAAAGTATGTGGGTAAAAATCAGTAAGTCACATACTTTGATTACTATACGGGGCAAGAGAGAGGTCCGACACGCCCAACATAGGGCGCGGCCATTTTGAACCCTATGACACAGTTTATAGTTAAAGAATCAGATCGCTCACTCTGCGTCGACACTTTTTATCTCAATGTTCCAGTTTATACACTGCGCAACTCAGATAATACAATATATGACAACCGCCTATAATAAAACAGCAGTTTTCTGCGTATCCTGGAGTGGATGTTATTTTGTAACTTTTAACTGGTCCGAGTGAGCTAACTGATTCTTTAGCAATAAACTGTGACTCCAAAAATAATATTCATTGACACTGACAGCAGCAAGCAAAATATCAGGTGCGTTTTAATCATCCGCTTCTGCTTCCGGAATTGTCGGTTCAGTCGTTCTAACCTGTCAGATTAAAACAAGAAAACCGACAATTCCGAAGCAGAAGCGGATGATTAAAACGCACCTATTAAAAATATTGCGCCAAGATGTAGGCAACACGTAATAAGGGTTCAAAATGGCGGAGTTTTCTATCTCCTTTTAAAAGGCACTCAGAAAGCTGCGCAGTGCGACCATTCTCCGTATAGTAAAAGAAAAATCAAAGTATGTGCATTAAGTACATTATTTACGACAAGCATCTAAACAAAAACCGTATCTCTGAACAATCCACTGAATCGGTTGGCAACAATGTGCCCACGGAGGAGCCTACAGTTCCTGCATTAAAAAATAGAAAAAGAAAAATTACTGCTGCCTGGAGAAGAAATGTTAATAAAAAAGCTATTGCAAAAGCATAAATGTATACGACCTGAAAAAGAGTACAAAAGGGACCAAGATACCAAGATCAACTGGATTAATCGATTATTTTCAAATAAACCATTTTTTTTCGTCCATGGAAACAGATTATTCGATAATCTTTGAAAAATCGAAAATAATCGATTAATTAAAAAGTCGATTAACTGATAAATCGATTAAAAAAAAAACAGAATGATCGATTATTTTAAATTGATTATTTTCGATCAATCGATTATTATCCATAATCTATTTTTATTGTATTCCCTTTAAAATCGTTAATTCGATTATCTTTGAAATACCGAAAATAATCGATAATTCCAAAATAATCGCCTAATCGAAAATAATCAATTAATTAAGAAGCCGATTCTATGATAAATCGATTATTACCAATAATCTATTTTATTGTATTTCAAAAATAATCGGTTAATTAAAAAGTCGATTAACTGACAAATCGATTTTCAAAAAAAAACAGAATGATCGATTATTTTAAATAATCGATAATTTTCGATCAATCGATTATTATCAATAATCTATTTTTATTGTATTTCCTTTAAAATCGATAATTCGATTATCTTTGAAATACCAAAAATAATCGCCTAATCGAAAATAACCAATTAATTAAGAAGCCGATTCTATGATAAATCGATTTTCCAAAAAATAAAACGAATTATCTATTATTTTCTAATAATCCTTTTTTCATATTTCCTTTTATTTGAAATTGATTATTCGATTATCGAAAATAATTGATTATTAAAAAGCTGATTATCCAATAAATCGATAATTTTAAAAAAATAACCAAAATATCGATTATGTAAAATAACCGATTATATCCAATCGATTATTTTCATATAATATCTTTGAAAAATCGAAAATAATCAAATAATTAAAAAACCGATTAAACGATAAATCGATTATTTTGAATAAATCTACTTTTTTGTATTTCCTTTAAAATCGATTAATACATTATCTTAAAAAAAACGAAAATAATTTATTAAAAACAGCGGATAAATCGATTTTCATTAAAAAATATCAGAATTATCGATAAATCGATTATTTTTGTAACCCCTATCGGTCGCTTGCTTTTATCTGAGCATTTAGCTCCAAAATTTAGAGATTCGGATTTTTTGATCCAGTTATCTTTGAAATCGCATTTGATTGTATAATAAATAAATATTGCTAAATTTTTGATTTTTTTTAGTAAACGAAAATTATGTTCGAGTTGTTTAGGGGTTTGTAATGTAACATTTTATTAACGTGACTAAGGGTCGATTCCACCGTTGTGTTAAACGAAGTTTAAAATGACATTTTTACATTACACTGTCATTTTAATCTCCGTTTAACACAACGGTGGAATCGGACCTAACTCCTGTAACTTTAGTATTTTTTTTTGCTTATACTAGATTACTTTGTTTTAAGACTTAAAATTCAATGTCACTTTCGATTTGACCGCAAATAAGATGAACCTTGAAATTTTAAGTCATCCTGTATTTCATCTAATATTCTTATAAAAATACCTTATAAAAATAAAATTTAGCTAGCAACTATGATTCTTTACCTCTTATTTATCTACCAAAAAGGGCTAAAAACTACCTTTAGAAAACATTCTTATAAAACTACTTTTTAAATACAAAATTTCGTTAGCAATAATGCCTATTTACTATTTATTTAAATTAAATGTTCAAAATTTTACCCTTTTGTAAAATTATGTAAGTAATGATATCTGATGCTTAATATTTATTGAAACCCCTTAATGCGGATCTGAAGTATTCAGCCCAGAGAATCATGGCGCTTTATGTCAAAACGTTAATAAATATTTACCGCTGAAAACGAATATATTCATAACAGTAGTACTTGTATTATAAGTACATACAATTTTTCAAGATACATCGTGACATTTTGAACTTGAAATTGAATAACCAGAACACTTTAAATTGCTAAAATACCAACAAATAAATCAAAAAACAGCTGTCAATGGTGATTAAACTCAGGTGGAGGTGATTGCTGAATGGAAATCGGAGCAATTCGGGTGGCGTCGTGCAACAATGATTTTCAATTGGTGGGTTACTTTGGCTTAAAATAGACAACATGCGCAGTGTGCAATGTTACATCTTCGGTCTCTTTAATCTAAGGACTACCCCTAGATGTTATAACAGTTTAACCCCGATCGTCGCAACGAAATAGATGTTTTTGGAGTGTTTTTGAATTACTTTCGTTAGTATTTTCAAATTAATGATGTCAGCAAGAACTAGCAAAATAATTGAATTATGAAAAAATTCAAGGATAAGTTGTATATTCTATGTAAATTTAGGCTTAGATATTTCGTTTCTTATCCTGAACGGAAAACTGCTTTTACTCTAATCAATGTTTTAATGTATTTTGTTTTAAAATATCTACGTAGATAATTTGAAAAGGATTTGGCAAAAAAATAATTTATTTACCTATAAATCAACATTTTAATGGTAATGGCTCTAAATAACCACGAAAATTAGTTTCGTTTAGTATCTCTGCGCCTTTAAAGTGAAAAGTGTATATCGTCGTTGCCGCGGTGAAACCTCCTATGTGATATTTTATCACATTTTTAGATTTTTGTACCAGTTTATAGAAACTAACATTCTGTACAGTTTAGCGAAACCTCCCATGTAATTTTCTTTTAAAATATTGTGATTTTAGACCTCCCTTGTGCGTAATACGTATAAGGCATCAGAACAAAATTGTTACGTTTTTATATCTACTGAAAATTTTGATGAAATGTACATAGGAGGTTTCACCGCGACAACGACGATATGCTATTTTTAATAATTTAATTCAAATGAATAATAAATATTTTAAGGTTGTAATTATGGATAAAATTTTCAAAAGCGAAATAATTGAAACTGTAATTAAAAAGTAAAAACTCAACATATTTTTTTACTTAAAACTTACGTTTCAAGAAGTCTGTTTTATAATGAAAATTTATTTGCAAAGAGGTAGCCGACTTTTACTGAATCCCCATTTAAATTTTTTATTATTCATGACTATACTACAGTTGCAAAATTGTAGCCACTTATTTGGATTTTTGGCTTTCTGTTTACTCAATAAAGTGCTACAAATCAGAGGTAGTGATATCAACATTCTTTACAGGACATTCAAGAGGCCAAAGAAGATTCGAATCAGTTGGATCTTCATCCGTCTTCTGCAATTTCTGAAGAATTGCCCTTCAACCTCTGAGCAAAACAATAACTTAGATGATTTAATGCCCAGCTCTGATTCTTCTTCTAAGCAAAATAGCACCGGAGTGACTGTCAAGTCACTCGTTAATTAACTTCTGATGATAGCGTTGCTCATACCGAATACAAGTTGTTTGAGAGTGAATCAACTGACAGTGAAGTACATGAAACTGTTATTGAAAGTTCAGTGAAACCTCGTTAGAGAAAAGTTAATACTCATGACTGGAAAGCCAATAAATTAAAAAAATGCGATCTTAATGTAAGCCGTATGTAACGAAAATAGGGTTGAAAGCTGCTAAGGCTCCTAAGGCAATCGACTGCAGTAAATGTCAATTCAAATGTCCAATTAACTTCTCAAACAATGACCGGATTGAACTTTGTAAGGCATATTAGGAACTTAAGGACTACAATCGTCAAAAAGATTATATCCTTCAAAACGTGAGGACAGAATTGACCAAACGACGTCGGGTGAGCGCTAAGAAACAACGAGTAACGGCCAAACAATATTATTTAAGAAATTCCAATGGAGTCTTTCGTGTTTGCGTAAATTTTTTTGAAAAAACTCTGTGCATATCGAATGGACCAATAAATACCGCTTTGGCAAATACCAACGAATTTGGTAGTTTCTCAGGTTCAGACAACAGAGGACACAAAATTCCAGAAAATGCTACTAGCAAGAAAAATACAGAACTTGTTAAAAACACATTGAAAGTTTTCCTCATATGCTTCATTATGTGAGGAAAACTAGTAGCAGGCAGTATTTAGACCCGTAATTAAGTATTCTCGAGATGAACTCATTATATTTAGATTTTTGCAAAGACAAAAATGTGTTGCCTGTTAAAAGTAATATGTACAGAAACATTTTTTGTACTCAATCATCATCATCATCATCTGAATTAGGGCGTGGTTCAAAGCCCACTTGTACTGAAGCTCTAGGCTTATTGTACCCCTCACAGTTTCTATCCCATCAGATTGATTTTCTTGATGAATTCAAGAATATGTCTGATGGGCGCTTTCGCGATTTCTTCAGGTTCCGGATATTGTACCCCGAAGTACCATTCCCGTTCCCATTTAAGGTTCCGGCAGTGGCATAGTATGTGAATAGGAGTTTCGTCCTCCTCTTCACATATTCTGCATAGGGAGTCATCAGATATCCCTAAGAGATTTAGGTGTCTTCTAAGGCCGCAATGTCCCGTAAGGAGTCCTATTACGGCCTTGAGTTCGCTTCTGCTAAGGTTTAGCAGTTGATGTTGTCTGCTCGTGGATGGCCCCTCTATGAATCTTTTGGACTGTCTAAGTCCAGGAAGTTCTATCCAGAGCCTATGGTGTTCTCTTTTTATTTGTTCCTTTAACACCCATTTAACATGTTGGTATGAGATACCACATGTGGGTTCTGGTCCAATAGAGTTTTTTCCGCTCCCTTCCTTGCTAGGAGGTCTGCTTTCTCGTTTCCAAACACTCCCTCATGTCCTGGCACCCATTCAAGGGTAATCTTGTTATGTTCTGCCAGAGCCTGGAGGGATTGTTGGCAATCAAATATTGATTTAGATTGTACTTCTACCCTTTTTAGTGCTTTAAGGGCTGCCTGACTGTCTGTCATGATAACGATTCTCTTATCTCTAAGAGAGTCATTTAGCATGACTTTGGCACAGGCATTTATTGCTGCTACTTCAGCCTGGAAGACTGTTGTCAGTGACCCCAGGTTCAAACTAATTGTCCTCCCTGAGTTCTCATGGTAGATCCCAGCTCCTGTGCTGTTTTTCATTTTCGAACCGTCTGTATACCAGATTGATTCGTTTTGTTTTTCCCTTTTTTCCCGGCTTTTGGCCCTTTCTGGTATTTGAATATCAAAAGGTTTCTTGAAGTCGTGAATAATGGGCGTTCTATCCGATGGCATTCTTAGTACCGGATTTTGTTTTAATTTCTCTAATATAATTGTGGTGTCCTTTTCTCGAAAGTTCCCATCCAAATCCATTAGTAAACAGCCTGTATGCCGCCGCCATAGCCTCCTTCTCCACCACAAGGTGTAGTGGAGGAAGACCTAGCAGTAGCTCCATTGCTGCTGTGGGCGTAGAAACATTTTTTGTACTCAATACAACCTCTCGTTTTTCATCCCCAAAAAGGATCAGTGCAGTATTTGCATAAAATACAATTCTGCAAAGGAAGAAGAACATCTTAAGAAACCTCACGAAGATCATGTGACTAGGAAAAAGGAGTGCTATTAAGAAAAACAAGAAGATAAAAGAAAAGCCAATGATGACAAAAGTTTTCAGACAATTACGTTTGATCTGGAGAGTATGCTTCAACTACCATCATCAGACATGGGATAGTTATATTATAGCAGAAAATTGTGCGTATATAATTTAACAATTAATGAAGGGGGTAAAGAAAATAGATGGTTTTTGTTTTTGTTGGAACGAAATTAATGGAAAAAGGGGGGATCCAATGAAATTGCAACTATTCTAAACAAGTACATAGATAGGATCCCAATAACAAGACACATTTATCTATGTTCTCTGACACTTGCGGGGGTCAGAACCGAAAAGCAGAATGTAGCAGCAGCTATGCTATATTGTGTTCAAAATCATGTGACAGTTGAAATTATTAAGCATACATTTTTGTAATATGGTCACTCCTATATGAAATGTGACTTTATGCACTCAGCTATAGAAAATAAAAAAAATATAGGTCAGTTTTTGTAACGAACAATTGGAAGGAAATCTTTAAAAACAAATCTTAGAATAGTCCAAGGAACAACCCCTTGAATTTTTGCCGCATGTTTAAAAAACACCCTGTATATATTGTAAACCTTTAATGTCTATTTACCACTCTGCATATTATTAATTTTTTTTTATTTTAGAAAGCGTTCTTTTGGGGGGGAGGGGACCTTTTGAAATATTAAATTCCTAATTTTTAATTTAGGATGCACTCTGTTAAAATGGGTCTCTTTGATACACCTGTTATAAGAAGTTAGTGTAAGTAGATATACAGAGTGAGTTTTAAGTATGGAACGCCTCAATTATCTCGGAAACGGCTTGCACAATTTTTATATACATGTAAAGGTTTTGTAATATTATGGTTGTATTTACATTGTTGTCAGATTTTTCGGTTTTCAGAAAATACAATATTTTTTGTTTTTTGAATTCCTTAAGAAATACCGTTTATTTTTCATATATTTAATGTTATACCCAAATGTCATAATTTCGGAGTTACAGCTACTTTTACATTATTTCCGCGGAAGTTAAAATAATACATTTATGACTGATATAATAACAACTTTGACGTTTCAACAAACTATTATTGTTGGTGTTTATTGAAAGTCACAATAGATCGTTTATCTGAAAAAAAAAAACGAACTGAGATTTTAATGACATTCAAATAAATTGTGAATGAAGTATGCATAAAAAATCATATAAAATAACTAAAAACCTATTTATTTTTTATTAATATTGATATCAATTAGAAAAATATTGCTGAGAACAGAAATTTTTGATGATTATATATATTCAAAATAAAAGAAAATCAGAAGGTCACCGAAATCGCAAAGGAACTTAATAAATAATATATGAGAAGAACATCGAAATCGTTTACATCTGGTTTAACGTCAAGAGGAAGTATATATGTGTTCCTCTCAAACTATTCATTAGGTTCCTTAGAGCTCTCGGCAAGCTGTCAACTCGCATGGAATTAATTAGCGAACATGTAAATATGATAAATTAAAAAACGTACCCTCAATGGAGCAGGATACAATCCTTGGGACATTTTCATGACTTGTTTCTTAGCTTTTCCAAATATTTGATCTTTAACAAAATTGTACTGTAAAGCATAAGCCAGAGCTTTATCCATAAAGCTCTTCTGTCTGTTGACCTTTAATTTACCAGCAGCTAAGTCCTTAGCGGTAGCAACGGCTATTTTTTCTAGGTATTTACTGGTGATTTCCTCTGGACTTCCTAAACCGGGTCCTAAAGGATCCACTAGAAGATCGACTACACCAAGTTTTTTGGCTTTATCGGCTCTTAAATTTTTTCCTGTTAACATGAAGTCTAATGCGTCGAGGATCGAAACGAACCTTGGTAATCTTTGGGTACCTCCAGCACCTATTAGTTAAATTTTGTTTAGTTTATTTTGCGAAAAAAAAAAATATAATGCTGTTTAAACTTATCATACCACTCAGAAATCTAGAAATAAGGAGCTTCTTTCTTATGACAGCAGATAATTACTCAAACTATTGAGTGGTGCAATAATGTTGAACAGTAGTATAGATTATTGCTAACAAATTTTTTCAACATCATGAAAAATAAATATATTTTTTGAGAAATAAAGAAAATAAGCAAAATATTTCCCATTTATAGAAAAAGCGTGATTATTAAACTAACCACAATCCATTTATTTTACTTACCAGGTAATAAACCCAACATCACTTCAGGTAATCCCAAAGTGGTCTTCTTATCCTTAACGGCAATTCTGTAATGCATCGCCAATGCAGTCTCGAACCCTAATCCCAAACAGGAACCTTGAATAGCAGCCACAAATGGTTTATTACTGTTTTCGATTTCTTGAAGAATTTTCTGTCCTTCTAAAGACTTAGAACTACCATCGTCGGCAGTCTTGCACGCTTCCAACATGTTGATGTCGGCCCCAGCTATGAAACATCCTGGTTTTCCAGAAATCAAGACACAAGCTTGGATATTGGAATCTGATTGAATTTTCGGTAGAAGACTTTTCATTTCATTCATTACTTCTTCATTGAATGAATTCACCTGAAAAAAGCATTTTTACACATGATATTAACAATGTCTTATTTAAATTGCTTAGTAATTGAACATTTAAATAAAACAAAAGATTGTAAAAAATTTAGGAGTAAGGGAAAAGTGCGCAGTTACATTTACATCTGCATGAACATACAGAGCTGGGCAGAGTACTGCGTTAAAGTACTCACGAGTATTTCAAATTGAGTAGCTTTACAAAATACTCATAAGTATAACAAAACCAAGACCGAGTGTGCAAGACCAAGTGGTGCAAGACTTACGCAAGACCAAGACTCTTGCAGTATTGCGTTCTTTAATTATTGTTGCCTGAAAATTTAGTATATAAACATTCGTCTCGAAAAACCTTGGTGTTCGATATATAGGGTGAGTCTTTAGAAATGTGTAAATTAATAAATATACATTCAAAGCCGTTTGTTCAATGCGAGATATTCGCCAGTCGTGGATTGCATAAAGCTAGGTTGCGAAATGTTATAATTTAAACGGCATTTAAAAGTTCATTTATATATACTTTTTTACTGCGTTTAACTAGAGTTGACACGAGACGATAGATAGGACCTGATATCGTTTCGTCTCTAAATTCTCGAGATACATTTTTTCGAAACAAGAGACAAGCCTTGTCTCGTCTCGGTTCGTTTTGTTTTATCTCGTCTCGATTTTATTATTATAAAAAATAAAATACAAGAAAATATTAATAATATTCTTAAAAATTATGAGGAATTATTCGGTCTTAACATAACAGGCATGAATTTAAATAGAATAATATTTGAATTATTCTTATGAATTATTATTACTGAAAATAAATGTTAACATTATTAAAGAATAAAGTAAGAAATTATTCAGAACCAACTAAAAATTCAAAATTTTGTTTTTTGTGTTACGAAAATACATTTGGTATTTATTGCACAGTTTTTGTTTAATATAGACAACTTTTAATTATTATTGTTTTTTTTTAAATGTCCGTATGTTTAAGATGTTTTGACCCAGTATTTTATGCCAGTATGATATGCATCTATACTTTTTATTTTAATCCCATACGTCTGGAAGATCCAGGTTCAATTATCGGTCGCAGTTTTTGTTGACTTAAGGATACAATTTTTGTTTTTTATTGGGTTGTTGGATATGCAAAAAAATATTTCAAATAAAAGAATACACAAAATATGTTAAATATAAATAAATATCCAATTGTTGGTCTTGGTCTTGTTTTGCTCATCACTAGGTTTAGTGTAGTGTTAATATTATAGGAATATAGGAAATATTGTTTTATACCTAACAACTTATTTATTTTTTATTTATTGATAGTTACAGATAATATGTATTCGAAGTAATGGTCATGACGTAGCGGTGTTCTTCTAATTGTAATCGGACCATACATAACGAGTATGAGTACCTTATCTATTAAATAACCTAGTGACTCAAGTTTACAAAAAAGGAATTATAATAATTATTAGTAATAGTACGTCAGTACAGTACGACAAGATGGAGATGACAAGTCAGAATTAGATGCGCACTGGCAAATCTAAAAATGGGAGGAGTTATCTCAGTTGACACAATAGCATCGAAGTTCAGCCATTAATTGAGATAACTCCTCCCATTTTTAGATTTGCCAGTGCACAATTGCACATCTAATAAAAAAAAAACGAAAGTATCACTTATCTTCTATAAATTAGTTACCATTAATGTGTACGCCCAACTTTTCATTTTAATGTTAAAGTAAAGTAATAAAGGTACTATTAGGTAGGGGGAGATATACAGGTAAAAAAATTCCATCATTTGACATATTCGTATCTGCCTTAGAGTTGTGACGCCGATGGTACTGCCTTAGGGTTGTGACTCCGATGGTACTGGGAATTTAAAAATTAATGGAATTATCAGATATATTTTGGGAAAATTGATAAAGGGTTTTAGAATTGTCAGTTTGGAAATTAAAAAAAAAGAGTTTGAAAATATTATATTGAAGTTAAGATAGATAGATAGATAAATAGATATTCAAGTTGACGATTTTATATCGTGGAGACGAAATATAAAAAAGACTAAAAAAGAAAGATGAAGAAAGTTTTATTTAAATCAAAGAAAAGTGTGAATGGAATAGGAAGGAGAGTTCGTCAGAAGGAGGAGTAACAGGAGAAGGTAAAGAAAAACAGCAAGAGGACACCAGGGTACATAAAGTCAGGAGTTAGAGAAGAAAGCAGAAGAACAGGAGACAAGAAGAAACATGTATTGATTAGTATTATTTTTAGTTAGTTTTTTGGAAACCAAAGGCGCTATAACCCTAAAAGCTCTAGGGTATTTGAATAGTTTAATCTTTTCAAGGTAATATATATGCAGGCGTCGGTATTCAATACTCGTTAGCTGTAGGAATAAAAAGTATTCGAATTTTTTTGAGTATGAGTTCCATCTGGATGAAAGTACTTACGAGTAAAAATTAATAAGTACTTTGAGTAGTGATGTACAATTTTCTCGAGTACTGCCCAGCTCTGCTAGCATATACATAAATGTACTTAGTAAGTATAAACAAAAACTTAATTGAATCGATCATTTCAAAAACCACATAAGTTAATTTTTCCCAAAAATTGGGTTTATGTCATGAAAAGTCTTGCAGGAGTACCTACACCTTATGTGAAAAAAAAAACAAACAAGTCGCATTAACTGTTAGATAAATAAACCTTTTTAAATTTTTATACAGTACCAAAAATACCCTATAAGAGGACGACTTATGTGGTTTTTGCACGCACAGTCGATTATTTTAAGTTGGCATTTTAATTTATACTTAAAGTGTTCGCCCAGTGGTCGAAATTCGACAATAATCATTATTCTGATTCTTGAGCACTTTCTTCTTCTTCTTCTTCTTCTTGACATTTCTTTTTCTTCACATTTCTTCTTCTTGACATTTCTTCTTCTTGACATTTCTTCTTCTTGACATTTCTTCTTCTTGACATTTCTTTTTCTTGACATTTCTTTTTCTTAACATTTCTTCTTTTCTTAACATTTCTTCTTCTTTCCGTTTGCTTTATATTATATTTACTACACATAGGGGAGAGGGTGTAATAATTGGCATTATTATTTGAAAATATAAAGAATTTACTTAAAAAAGTTATTTTTTCTACTACCGTGCGTAAAGTACGTACTTTACGCACTCCACGAAGTGTGTAAAGTTGTACTTTTTTTCACTAGTGCGTAAAGTAAAACTCTTTACGCACTAGTTAAAAAAAGTAAAATTTGACAAAATTTGTACATAACAACAAAATATAACGTTTTATTTTATATTAACATTTTTTGCTATCTCCTTCTGAGACAAATAAATAAATTATTTTTGCTTATATCTATTTAGTGTCCAACAAACTATCAACAGTTTATTTTAATTATAATTTTGTCTAAATGTCATCGATTTAAATAAAAGTAAACACAGTGGATGTCGATTTTGGTAAAAGTAAGTTGGCCGTGGCTGTGTGGATTAGAAGAACTGTCAATCTCTAAACTTTTAATTAGTACCTACCTTATAACAGAACACGACAAAAGTATATTTAAGTTCAAGATTAGATTCTAAAGCCAATTTAGCATTTTTTTTAAACTCAATCAAGTTTGAGAAGGTAAAAAGTTTTACTTTTTAATGTTTGTTTACTTAAATTCAAATTTTATTTGCAGTTTATTATATCTGTCCTAATCGATATGGATTCAAATTTATCTAGCGATAGCGAATTTGATAATACTCCCCCCAGATATCTTATGCAGTGCACAAAAGGCCACTGAAAATTTATTGTCAGAAAAATCTGCATATATTTATCAGCAAAAATACAATGCATTTATAGAATGGTGTAGGAAGAATAAGGTGACAAAATATTCGGAAAACGTTATTTTAGCATATTTCTCTGATGAATTGAAGAATTGCAAAGCTTCTACCCTATGGTCGATTTATTTTATGCTTAAAAGCACCTTAAAATATAAAAACAACGTTGATATTTCGAAATTCAACAAGTTAATAGCGTTTCTCAAACAAAAAAATAAAGGTTATAAACCAAAAAAATCCAAAATTTTTGAACGAGAAGATCTAATTAATTTTCTGTTGAAAGCTCCAGATTCCAAGTTTTTAATGATCAAAGTAAGTAAATGCCTCAGTAACTGCTTGAATGCTCAGTATAAAATTAAAATATTCTGTAAAGTTTTGCAACGAGATGTGTGTTCGTATGGTGTGTTGCCTAACATTATACCTAAAAATTTTATATTTTTTACAATAGCATTTATTTGGAGTTTTACATGCGCAACGTCAAGATATTTCCTAATGTTTAATAAATTATTTGTAACATTACAATATGTTATTTTTTTTATAATTGGAATTGCGGGAGCTTGTCGCCGGGAAGAATTATGTAAAATGACAATTAACGAGGTGGAAGATAAACAAACAGTGTATATTGTCAAAGTATCAGAAACCAAAAATGGAATAGAACGCATTTTTACGATTTTAAATCCAAATAATTCTGCAGTTGATTATTTATCTTTCATAAAAAAATATACCTCATTAAGACCATCAAATATAATTTGTAACAGATTTTTTTTAAAATTCGCAAATGGAAAATATTCTAAACAGCCTGTAGGGATAAATACTTTTGGTAAAATGCCAAGTGTTATAGCAACGTATCTAAACTTGCCCAATCCAACGGCTTTTACAGGACACTGCTTTAGGAGGTATTCAGCCACTATGCTGGCAAATTCTGGAGGAGACCTTCTAACGGTCAAAAAACATGGAGGATGGAAATCATCTGCTATTGCAGAAGGCTACGTAGACAGCACAATAACACAAAAAAACAAAATTTCTAATAAAATTTTGATGGATGACAGTATGCCATCCACTTCCAAACATAGCTACAATTTTACCGTTGACAACTCTAATGAAGAATTAGTGGAACCACTCGACAGTGAAACTAGAGTTACACATAATATTTCAACCTCTTTACTTGAAAAGGCCAAATCCATACAACTCGAAGCTCAAAATAGGG